GTTCACCGGAATCGAAGGAGATTGCCTCGGAAACAGCGTCAGCATGAATGTTCCAGTAAAGCCAATCGAAGGCTGGTCAAGAGGAATTCGCCATCGTCTTCTGGTGGAACCGAGCTTCGAATCTCCTCACCAAACACTTCTACTTGAAATGGAAGTAAGCCCAACAATTAAATTCGTGGTTTGGTGACATGAAATAATTTAGGGATATGTGAAATCAAGCATTGGGTCGTAAAAAAAGGTAAACAAGAGTGCATTTAATTAGTCAGCCCCAATCTTTAAGCAGCAATAAGCCAAATTAGCCATCAAGGATTTTAGGATTTTAGCTTCTTTGTCATAGTGAAAACGAAGAAAATGTCAAGGCATTATAATATATTTGAATGTAAATGTAAGGTGTGATGATGTGAAATTATTTAGCGGGCATTTACAATTTAGCTGCATAAGACAAGAATGAGCTGATGATTGAGCAGCGCAGACTCAAAGACTAGTTCACTTTCTAATAGTGCAAAAAACAACAAATGACAAAAATATTATAATTAGTTTAAATTAAAAATCAAGTCTTAAAAATGTATTATTTGCATTAAAAATGAGGAATCAAAGCAGCCACCGCTTAATGAAGCTGTAAAGAGAATAGGCAAATCAAGCAATAAATTAATTGTCTTGTCGCATTAATTTGCATTTTAAAGAAAATTCTCGATGTGGGCTCAACATTATCAGACCAAGAATCGAGACGTTATGAAATAGAGCAAAACTGTACTGAGCCGATACACCAAACTAACTTCTCCTGCGAAATAGAAAGTAATTTCACAATATTACAACAACTAGGGAATTCGTCGAAACACACTTTTTATGCATACTTAATTATCTACCATTTCGGCATTTTTCCAAATGGAAAAAAGTACCAAATCGGTCAAGGCAGCCTCCCAGTTTTGCATTTCTTTGTCTACCCAACCGCCTTCAGGAGTCGGCCGCCGACACGCAGCTGTGGCCATGGCTGGGCGCGTCCGAGGCGGGACTCGAGCCTCGTCCTTCCACTCGCCTCATCACCGCCGTCCACTCCCTCTTCCAGCCGCAGCTGCTGCTCCGTCTCCTCTCGCACCGCCTCTTCGCCTGCCAACAGCACGTCCGGCGCGGCTCGCAGACCAACCCATCGCCGGCCTCGCTCCCACTCCCTCCGTTGCCGCCGCCTCTGTCACCGCCTCCGCCTCCGCCACGGCCACGGCCACCGCCGCAGCCGTCGCCGTCGCCGTCGCGAACCTCGC